AGGGAAAGGGGGAAGAAGCTGTCACTGAGCAAGGGCGCTGGGTCACACCACAGCAGGGCCTGTGCCTCACACAAGGAGAGACGAGTGCACCCAGCCGCCCCATGACCCTGTGACCTTTGCTCCCTCTGCTGAGTGCCCTTCCCCCACTCCCCCCACACCCCCTCAGGTCTCAGCTGAAGTGCCACCTTCCCTGCACGCCTTTTCTTTTTTTTGCAAGGGAGAAAGGAGAGAGAAGGACAGTGAGAAAGCACACCCCCAGGTGCGGGACCTGTCGCCTGCACAGGAGTCCAGCACCTTAACTGCCACACCACCTGCCAGCCCACCTCCACTCGGCCTGCCTTTTAAAGGTCAGCCTCTCCCTCCTGCATTTCCACCTCTATTGTCCTTGCCTGCTGGTTCTACTTTTTTTTCTTATTTCTTTTTTCTTCTTCTTTTTTTTTTTTTTGCCATAGGTTGTAGCCAGAGAGAGACAGAGAGAGGGAAAGTAAGAAATCACCCCTCAGGGGGGCTGGCGCCACAATCCCTTCTCCTCCATTCTCCTCTCAGGATTTTGGGCATGCACGCACACGCACCCAGCGGGATTTTCAAGCTGCCGGGTCTGGGACTAGAACTGCACCTAGCCGTGTGAGAGTCCAGAGCCTTAACCACCATGCCACTCGTTCCCCTTTCTGCTCTCGTCCCAGAGCAAGTCCCACTCGGGCCCAGATCTCTGCCCACGTCCAGCACGAGGTCAGCCCAGAGGAGCCTCTCGCTCGCGCTCAGGGCAGGAGCAGGAAGGCCAAAGCTGCCTGATGCTGAAGGCGCAGGAGGGAGGGGAGGGAGCATGCGGTCTGGCGCAGGGAGAGAGAGCGCCGGAGGGAGGGAGCACGGGTCTTGTGCCCTAGTCCCGTAGGGACCTCCCAGCAGTAAAGGAAGCTGAAGCTGCGACTCTACTTCCCTGCACGGTGTGAGTGTGGATTGAGGGCCAAGAGCTCAGCCCAGACTTACCGTTCAGCACCTGGAGGCTCAGCAAACCTGGAGAGACGAGGACTCCAATGGCACGAGGCGCATGGCAGGCCCCATGGTCCTGCTCTGTGGACCCCCGTCCACAGCCCCCCACTGTGACTCCCACTGCACACCGTCTGCGGCTGGGCTGGCCCTCATGCCAAGGCGCACGGTCGTGAGCGGACCCGACTCCTTCCTCAGGGCCCGCTGCCCTCTCGCCAGCCCAGCTGCCCTGAGTCCCAGGCCACGGGGTGCGGATTTACCTAGGATCTCTGCTGTCCAGGACGCCGGGCGCAGGTCAGGGGCGCAGGCAGGTCCAGAGCGTTTGCCGGAAAGGACGAGACCACACATCGCAGAGGAGCACAGCAGAGGGTGGGGAGGGGGGCAGGTGGGGGACACAGCCAGGATTAGGGGGCGACCAGACCGCTGCGCCACAAGGTCGGAGGGGAAGCCCTGTGGTGCACGGCTCGCATGGGGGTGGTTTAGGGTGGGAAGGAAGCCACCACCCCTCTGCCGTCCTTCCCATGTATGTGGGGTCACACTATGACATGGGCACCTTACATGCGTCCTGTCGGGGATGACAAAATACACCCACCACACGTTTCCTGAACTTGTATTTTTATAACAACTTGGTTGAAATACAATTTACATAGCTCACAATTCCCCCATCGAAAGCATCGGAGCAGGCCTGACGGGGTGCGGCGACACAGCGGCTCCGCGAGGGTGACTGCCAGGCCTCCCCAGCAGCTGGGCCTGGGCGTGCCTGTGCCCCGGGCCAGCTCAGGCTGGGTAGGTCTTGGCCTGGATACCCTGTGGGGATGCCTGTCTGTCTCTCTCAAAGGAATAATAAATAAATGAACTGTTTAAAAAGGCGGGAACCAGCAGTTAGCGTAATGGCTATGTCGCTGGACTCCCACGTAGTCGACCGCGGTTCGCGTCCCGGACCCGGTGGCTTAAAACTCACGCCGGGCGCGTGTGCGTGCGTGCCCAAGATCCTGAGAGGAGAATGGAGGAGAAGGGATTGCGGCGTGGCCATCCCCTCTGGGGGGTGATTTCTCGCTTTCTGTCTCTCTCTCTCTGTCTGGCGAGCGCACACGCCCTATAGCGAAAACCTCTCCAAAAAAAAAAAAAAGGCCCCCAGGCCAGCAGTGGCGTGGTGGGTAAGGCACTGGACTCCCGCGTGGCCCACCCGTTGGGGTCGCAGACCTGGCAGCTTGCTTCCTTACTGTGCCCCTGTCTCTCTGTCTCTCTCTGGTGAGTGCACGTGCCCTACAGCAACAGCAGTGATAATAAAAAGAACGAGGACAAGCTGGAAGAGCAATGGACTAAGGTCTTACGTTTCAGAACTGTCCGCGGGCAGCGGGGAGGAGGGCCGCGGCAACAGCAGGAGCGTGGAGGGGAGAGAAGGACGGAGTCAGCACCTCGTTCCTGGCCCACCCCACCCTGCTGGGCCCAAGGGAGAGAAATGGAAGTCCCACATTTCCTGGGGGCCCAGGAGGGTGGCCAGATGCTTCTTTGACACTTGACACCTTTCGAGGCCCATTTTCCAGGTCCCCGTGTCCTTGACTCCCCATTGCTCTCGCTCTGCTCTGCGTGGGGCATCGGGGAGGGAACTGGGGGAGGCAGGCATGAGCGGTCCTGCTCTGGCTCCCCTTAGTCAGCCGTCCTCCCGGCGAGGACACTCGGCTCCACACTGCCTGGTGTCCTGGGGCTGCGCTCCTCAGTCTGGGCATGGCCCAATGAGGGGTGGCGGGGGGCGAGGGCCCGAGGCCTCCAGAGACGGAGACAGCAGGGGACAGGTTTCCCTAGCCCGTGTCCTGAATCGAGGGCATCCCGAGGCGTCCTTTCTCCTTCTCGTTTCCTCTTTTTCTCAGTACCCAGGGACCCAGGTTATCCACCGGAAAGGAAAACAACTTACTCTTCACTGGACGGCGGTCGTCCCACCGATCAGGGAGATGGAAGGGCGAGAAAGAGAAGAGGCTGACATCAGCTGCCCCTCTTCCGCCC